GACTGTGATTGTTTTGTAAGGTCTATGGACATAATGTTGTGAACAGACCTGCTGGAAATCTTTTCTGGACCTTTGAACTGTGATTTTCTGCGAGCTATGACTTTAGCCTGGGGGTGGGGAACACAAAGCTTTTGTTCATGTTTAACCTCAGATTTTTTTCTATCATTGTATTGCAGCAAATCTGTGTAGCGCTGAACATTGGCTAAACATTTAAAAACATTTCATTACAGTTTATTGTGTCATTGAATTGCTCGTTCTGTATGTGGGTGCAGTCAACATAAATCCACATGATTTCTGGTTCAAAAATGTGTCCTTGTAGCTATTTGATCAGTTTGCAGCATGTCCCACTATAGTCTGACCTCTGACCTTTCTTCATTCCCATAATTAGGGAAGCCATCAACAGGCTCTGTGAAGCTGTGCCAGGCGGAAAGGGGGCTTGGAGGAAGAAGGTTAATAATAAACTTCCTACTATCATACTGTGTATGTTAAATAATATGTTTTGAAAATAAATTGTTTTATCCCTGCTGGAGAATTAGATGTGTAGAATTTACCACACAGGGTAGTACACTGTCTATGAAAGGCACTTTATTACACATGACAGTAATGCTTTCTGAATCACTGAACAGATCTATGAATAATGGTAATCTATGTATGCAGGTTTTCTTTCTTGATAAATACAGGATGATATAATTTTCCTGTATGTGAGGATATATGATCATTTCCACTGTATTCTGTCATGTAGGCCCTAAACAAAGCTCTACAGTCAATCATGGGGAAGAGCAACCTGCGATTTGCAGGAATGAGTATTGCAGTCAATATCTCCATTGATGGCCTCGGTCTGCTCATCCCCACCACACGGCAGGTTAGTTGATGCTAAAGTACCATAAGTCCATCTGTTTAAGGATTAAACTGGTAACATACATTTTATTAAATGTATAAATAAGGTTTGTGTGTAACTAAAGCTTTATTTAAAGTCTTCAAAATGTGATAAACTATCATTTTTGCATGGTGCATTTGTATGTATTAATTTCCACCCAACTGAGGATAAATTGTCGGGGGAGAATTCTGAATTCTTGTAATTATAAAAATTGTATCATAATCAAGCAACTGCTTCTAAAACCCGTAATGGTCAAACTCTGGACTTCAGTGGACTTTGGCATCTCTCCTCTATCTATTTCTGTTGTCATATATCCAGATCAATTGCAAAAAATATAAAATACAATATTGGTAAACCTCTACATTTGATTTATCTACTTGTTTCTTGCAGGTGATTGCACACCATCCAATGCAGTCCATCTCATTTGCCTCTGGGGGAGACACAGTGAGTGCAAATTACTCTGAGCTCTCCATTATATTGTTGCTGGCGTGGACTTTTTTTACCCTGCACATATCTGAATGAACTGCATTTTACTGGTTTCCAATCTTGTGACCTCAGAATCAACGAGGGCTTTAATGTAGTTATATACATCTAATTTATCTGGTCTAATTGAATCTTTTTCTCTTGTCTCTTGCAGGACTTGCCTGATTATGTTGCGTATGTGGCCAAAGACCCGGTAAATCAGAGAGGTATGTCCTCAGAAGCTTCTCATTTAGCTTCACTGTTCCTTCCTGTTTCATAGCCACATAAATACAATGCTGTGTTGTATCTTAAATGTGGACTACTGAGAGGGAGCTACATTATATCTTACATCCACTACAATAAATTTTTTAATACAAAAAATGTACATTATTATATAACCAACATTTGGAAATAAAATAAATTTCATATGAAGTACCCCCGATATCTATTACAGTTCCTGGTTTATAATATGAAGTACTAATATTTTTGAGGAAGACATCACCTCATTAAAAAAAGAAGTGGTTAAAAAAGGGGGGGTGGGGGTCTTCTAAAAATATTTGGCAACTAGAAAAAAAAATCTTTTCTTTTTGTCTTTCTCAGCATGTCATATCCTGGAGTGCTCTGATGGTTTAGCCCAAAGTGTCATCAGCACCATCGGCCAGGCTTTCGAGCTGCAGTTCAAACAGTACCTGCATAGTCCTCCCAAAACCATGGCATCTATGGAGAGGTAACATATATTTCTGCCATAAACAATGACCTTTATGAAAAGATACGAAGAGTTTTCTTTACAGCCCTCCAAATTTGTAACATTTATAGGGTGGTGAGACAATATCAAGTTACACTTTTGTAGCCTGTTTGATATACAGTAACAATGAGAGCACCAAGGTGCTAAGAAATAATTGCATATACTTGCCTGGACAACAAAATTCTGAATATACACTTTTCCTCCCTAGTGGTTTATGTATTGACCTATTTTGTAGTTGTGCGTTTCTTTTAGTGGCCTGTTCATGAGATCTCGCGATATTAAAACATGATATTTCTCACTGAGGCAAAAGCTGTCTCACGATATCAGTACATAACAGAAGCCAATATGACGTAGTGTAATGGCTAAATAACGGTACAAAGTCTGGCAAAAACATAACTCCTCACTGTGTTTTAACACACAGGACTGTGTTGGTCAGGGGTGAATGGTTGCAGGGGGAGTGCTGGAGGCATTCCGCTGTGTTTTGGTTAGCTATGCTGCTAGCGTAGCCTACTCCACCTTAGCACTAATTCTACCACCAGACTGTCTGCAGTGATAGATAAAAAAAAAACAGGTAAAATTGAAAATGCATGGCAAGGAGTTAAGGTGCATTGATTGTGGCCCAAAGTCGACAATGAATAGCCGTGAATGCTGATGCTAACAAGAAAAACATAAGAGTCTTCTTCTCGTGCGTGTCCATGTCCTCTGACCGTCCCCCGTACATGATTGGCCAACCTTGTTTCTTGTTACCTAGCCCTAGTTGTGTCTGCATCTGGGTCCTCATTTGCTCCCCTCATGAGAGATCTACTGTACAGCTCTCAGGTTTCTTTGTTATTCATTACAAAGAGACATGATAGTTTGTTCTTGCATTACTTCAAAATCCATCTTTTAATATTGATCCTCATAGAATTCTCACCCTGTGACCAAACCTGAGGTGTTGTTGCTGCAGACCCAGGTGAAAATCCAGACCTGAGTCTTTTTTTATTCTGGTTTCAAATGAGCATCTTTCTGCTGCCAGCAGCAATGGCAGCTCCAGTGACTTATATAGATCACATTCAGATGAGGAGATGTCATCTGATCTGACCTACTGTATTTGAGAACTTGGATCTCCTTATCATTATTGTTTATGGTTGATATCACTTTCAAAAGTAATAAAATAATTATTTAGATTATAGAGGTTGTGCTACTAATTTAGTATTTATACTATAAGTGTGCTCATGCACAGTATGTTTTTAAGTTTTTTTTTATTTATGTATTTATTTTTTTAACTACAGTTTCTTTAATTTAGACATTAAGCTAATTTCACCTATATGTATGTCATTCCTCAGGTCTGTCCGGCTAGAGGAGCCAACGTGGGGGGAGGATGAGGACTTTTCTGAGCATGATTACTACAACAGCATCCCAGGAAAGGAGCCTCCTGTTGGCGGAGTAGTGGACTCCAGGCTCCGGCCCAGTGGAGCCCTCCTGGGTCACATCCACACCCAGCCACAGAGCAAGACAGCACAGGTCAGTGTCATGACATGATTTTGGAAACACAAAGTCAAGTCAGGATATGAATTCTAGTTAGCTGTGCAGTATAGTAATGGTGGAATGTACTGTAGTTGGGTGCAGTTTTGATGCACTTTTAGTTTATTTATATTCTATGCTACATTATAATTCTCTTTCAACCATATTTTAGAAGAGAGAATAAAAAAAGAGTCGTAAAAGATTCTACCAGTGTTTGCACCTTTTGGCGGAGACCAAGGCCAAGGCCCTCTGGGACATTTAACTGCACAGCCACTATTTTACTTTTGATACTTCAAAAGAACAAAAGTTCTTCATATCAAGATTGTATGTCTCAAGTATTTTGTAGGTGATACTTTGTCCTTTTGTTTAAGTAGGATTTTGAACGCAGGACATTCAGTCTACTTGTAATGTGGTCTTTGTACCTTAACTAAACAATTTGAATTCTTATTGCAGTATAGTCTTTTTCTAATTCAGGCTAATCAGCATCATTATTCCCATTTCTGCCAAATATGTTTGAAGGTTCCCTGTGATGTAATCAAAGCTACACCTGGTCATTATCAAGTAGTATATAATTACTCTTTACCTTTAATGCCAAACTCAGGCTCAACTCTTTGAAATCTCCCTCTTAATGTGGAGAATGATAGGTTTTGCTGTTACAACCCCCTATTGTTTACATGGAAATAAACAATAGGAGCATGACATTATACTCCCTAACTGTCTTCCTGATGTGGCTGCACCATAATTGCCAAAGGCATAGATATGATTACATAAAGAGCCTTACAGTAGCTCCTCTCTTGCTCCTGCAGCTTGTTCAAAATATGGTGACATGCTATAGGTAATGTTTCAAATAGAGTGCCTCAAAACAACATTAAATGGGGATGAAATGAGTGAGTTGTCCCGTCTGTTGTGTATGTGTGTTTGCAGATGGTCTCACCAGCTAGAAGGGACCAAGCATCTTACCCCCCGGGTCAGCTGTGTTATGAGCTTCACTGGGATACTGAGATGACCAGCGGCTCAGGTGAGACACCCTGTGGCAACAAGCAGATATAACTACTAGAAAAAAATGTACTTGCTTGCAACCTTTTTGTCTGTCAGAGAGGGCAATTGTAATATTTTATTTTGAAATGTCAGTAAGGTCTTTATGAGATAACATTACCTTAATATAGACATTATTTACTGCAAAGAAAGATGTGGTATGTCAAAACTATATATTGCTTCAATGTTCTTTAGTCACAGAGTGGGGAAGACAATGGCCCTTAATAAAAAAAAAAAAAGGTTGGAAGTTTTATCATGGGCTTGCTTGGTTCTCTCTGTCACACAATTTTTCTGTCCTACTGTGGTAGAAGTCCTGTCATCACTTCACTTTGTGGCCTGAATAAAATTTGTTTCCACTTTAATACAGATAAACAGGGTTGTCGTACTCCAGCTCCGTGTCTGGACTCTTTGGTTCACTGTGACAGAATTAGGATTAGTAGGATCTTTATTCTGGATGGCCTTCCAGATAAAATACTTACCTTTACCTTACGTTACCTGACTTACCTTAGCACAGAATACACCAGTTCTTTTATCCAGGAATCAGAATCAGTTTCATTAGCCAGGTGTGTTGGACACACGAGGAATTTGACTCTGGTACAGCGGCTCTCAATGTGTATGTACATTATGTAAGGCAGCAGTGGGCAAGTAAACAATATAACAGAAGTAAAGAAGTAATGTGCGATCAAGCAAAGGAATGTGCCTTAGGAATAGAAATAAAGTACTATATACACACAGTCTGGATTTGGAAATCCATAATGTAGCATTTGTTTCCTCAGGTCTGTGTTCTCAGTCCAACTACCAGGGCCCTCCAGAAGCTGCCTTCTTATTGGTGGCTACATAAAATTTATTATGATTATGATATCAGCAAAACACTTCCACTTTAGTATATGCAATACTGCAGCTGGTTTAACGGTCTTAGTTATTTATGAAAATAAAATATACACATACTGTAGTACTTGAGCATACCCATTCTTGTCAGGTCTGACATCAGATGGTTACCTGTGTGCTGACGGCCAGCCAACAGGCGGTAAAGATTATGAGGAGCATCAGTATGTTAACACCCAGAGTCTGGAAAACCTGGATTCACTGGCACAGGGACCCAGTGGACACCGAGGGACCAGGGCACTTGACAGTCCCAAGAAAGATCTTTTTGACATGAGTAAGTCCTGACAGTTATACGACTTATTTTGACAGATATGGTATAGTCAGGATAGTCTCACTGTATCTGTCACTCTTTCACAGTTTTATTTGTGAAACATCATTGTCTCTACAGGACCCTTTGAGGATGCCCTAAAACTACACGAGGCCAGTGGAGGAGCTGTTGGCTCCACTATATCTGCTGCAGGTGGAGGTGTTCGGGTCCTGGAGGACCAGTGGCCCAGCCCTCCACGCCGTCGAGCCCCTGTTGCCCCAAATGAGGAGCAGCTTCGCAGGGAGCCCTGGTACCACAGTCGCATGAGCCGACGAGACGCAGAGAAGCTCTTGGTACGAGATGGAGATTTCCTCGTCCGGGAGAGTACGACCAACCCTGGACAGTATGTGCTAACGGGCATGCACTGTGGTCTGCCCAAACACCTACTGCTTGTGGACCCTGAGGGAGTGGTGAGTTTGAGAGCAAGCAAAAACAGACTTAAACAGAAAGCTGATTCACATCAAACTTTTTAACTGTTTATTTTTTGAAATACTGTTTGGTGGGTGTTGTTAAGAAACACAACTCTGATCATAATGACCTTTTTTGTCATTTAGTGCATGCATTTATTACCATTCTATATAGCAAACAGGCTTTATAAAGTGCTCCTGCACTTTGTGGTCACATCCGTTACTTACTGTATACCCCATGTCTCTTGCTGTCCTTCATAAAGGTCCGAACCAAAGACATGTTATTTGAGAGCATTAGCCACCTTATCGCATACCATCTGAAGAATGAACTGCCTATTGTAGCAGCTGAGAGCGAGCTCCATCTCCAACAAGTGGTCAGGAGGAAACAGTGAGCCATCAGACCCTGCATGAGACGGTAAGCATGGATTATAAGTAACGTAAACTAAATCATTTGAGATGATTATAACACAGAAACACAGATGATTAGAGATTCATGAGAGGATATATACAGTATATATATATGCATTAATATAACTTGGATCATACTGTATGATAAGAAAAATTAGGTTTATATAAGCTGCACATTGTGTCGTTTCAATGATATACAACAGGTTGTGTTTACATTGTGCGGTTTTTGGTGTACTCTATCTACCATTGCTGAAAATGAGCTCATCTTTCTGCCTTATCCCACAGCTGAAATTGTGCGTGTCCATGCAAAAACAAAACTGAAACTGGAAATCATTTCTTCCTGGTGGATATTTATCTGGAACAAAGGATTTCACCAATACTTTCTTTACATGAGCAACTATACCAAGTGAACGAGGCGTGTGACGTCTTCTTGTACTTCATCTGCCTGTTTACTACAAGGATCAACCAGACTATCCCTCATGTCAAAAACTCATCAGCATGCAGCTATTAAGCTAAAAAAAATTTAAAAGCCACAATCGACACTTTGAGTTAACCCAGCTCTGGAAAATTGTCAACCAATGTCAAAAATTAAAGGGGCAACTGTTCAGAGGAGACCCAACTTCAGGAAATCACATGAGGATTTGATACACAGTAGAAAAAATGTCCTACTATGCTTGTGATCATGATGTGCTTCCAGTCTACCATGGTTTGCCCATTCAGCCAGTCACAGAACAGTTTCTAGGACAAAACTGAATATATGGTGCAGAGGAAACAAAAGTCAGGTTCCATGCTCATTTCACTCTGCAACCATGTGACTGTATTGTACACTGTGACTATAAGAGACAACTGAAGAAATGTCATTGGAATGTAAAAGAATTGCTACATGTTCACATCTGCAGTATCTGACTCTGAAATGGCACAATGGAAATGAACTGAACATGATTCAGTGTTGGATTTGTAAAGTAGACACACATTCCTCTGCCTTTTTAGTTCCTCCATTATAACCTGAGCATCAGATCCCACTCTTTAAAAAATCATGCAGTTGTAGTAGCAGCCAAATAGATATACATTATATTGTCTTGAAAGTAGGAGGTTTTTACCACATTTACCATAAATATCAGTTATTTGTTGTGTTTGTAAGGGCTGTTTAGAATTTGTTAAAAACGCACTATGTATTGTATAGTTCTGTGCAAACTATTGGTCAGATGGTACTTTGAAGTCAGATACAGTAAATACTATATCCTGGGCTACAAACACCTACTCTGCATATACACTCAGTATATCCATGCCTATATTTCCCAAGTCCCTCCAACTTCAGTGCCTTAATATACCTACAGAGACAGGCATTTGTGTCAGAATGTATATAATGTGCATTTATGCTCTTAATGCAAAGACTAGTTTTCTTGCCTTGCCAATGAATGACTGAACAAACTTGATGATTAAGCTCTTATACTTGTGGACAGTAATGAAAGCTGCTCTTGTTTTGGGGTGACTAATGTTTAACCCTGTCTTATTGTGTCACTGTCACTGTCTTTATGTGTCCCCTTCAGAAGAGTCCCTGAAATTAATGTTTTTTATATATAGAAGCAAGCCATAGTGATACTAAAGACAGGGGATTTGGACTTGAAATTGATTTATCCCGACTCAGGGAAGTTTATCAGTTCTCCCATCTCATGTCTATGTCTGTACATCTCAGTGACCCAACTGTCTTATTTCCACTCTTTTGCGGCAGCGACACCAAGTTTGCTATCCCATTTTTGTCAGTCTACTATGTTTTAAATCTTAGAGGTAGGTCTTATCCTTTGTACATGTCTCTGTGTGTCTTTAGCAACATATCTTTAATTAGGCCCTCTGCTCTTCTTAGCTGCAGCCTCATAAATGCACAGAGAGATGATGTGAGCTACAAGACTTTTGGTGAGGTCCAAACAATGAATATAATTTTTTTCAGATCTGCCCCTTTTGCTTTCTCAAGGATTTCTTGGATCTTCTCTTCCTTGATTAACCTTAATGGCTTTTTGTCCAATTTAATTAAAAAGAAGGTACAATCCAAATGGTATTTTGTCATTTGTGAGTCTTCAAACTGTATCTGCTGGCTTATGTAGCAACTGCACATTGAGCCCAGCTGTTCAAATTTCCATGCACACATGCATCAGCCAAAATAAGACTTCATATTTCCAACACCCAAAAATAGATAGTGTGTAAGCTGTGGCTTTGGCCAGCTATTGTGTGTTCATCCAATGGTATTTGTGCATGACGTGAGTTACAAAAAACAGGATCAAGAGGCAAGCAATTTCTTTTCCCTTTTATTATGACAAAAATATATAAATTCAATCTGCTTCTCACACAATCTTGATTCTATCTTCTAAATAATCCACATTCATTTTCTGCTACCATAAACCCTTGACATGTAACGAAGGCACTCCATCATTTTACTGCTTGGTTGTCAGTCAGGTCTTATTGCTGTTCAGTTTACTGTAATGTATGCATGCAGCTACTGTATGTCTAACCACAGATCAGTTGTATTTGGCTTTCTAGATAAAAATCTCTATGATACTGATGCCACAGGTTGTTGACCTGTAGGGTGAATGGTGGTGAGGAGAGACTTGCAGATGTAATAAGGTTCAGTGTCCCTGCTGTGTCATCCTCAGGATCTGGAGTAGCAGGTTCTGCACCTCTTCATCCATATGGCCCTGTTGGGCACCATTAGGTAACATTTGTTACTTTCATCTTTTTATTCTCATACATAATGTACAGTTGTTATAATTCAGTCCTGTAAATGACATCTGTGTTTGAGTCCCAAGACAGTTTTACATTAAATACTGCTCCTAGATATTTATATTCATTTACAAATGGTCTTATACTTGTATAGTGCTTTTCTATGCATTGCAGCACACTCAAAGAGCTTTCACACTATTTGGCCATTCACCCATTCGCATTCCCAAGCACACACACATTCACACACCGGTGACATCATTGGGAGCAACTGGGGTTCAGTATCTTGCTCAAGGACACACTTTGACATGTGGACTGGACAAGCCAGGAATCAAACCTCTAATCTTCCGGTTAGGAAATGACCCGCTCTACCTCCTGAGCACATTAACCATTCAGTCACTTGCTTCGTTCTCCTTGATCTAAAATCAACTGGCTGTCAAACCAGTCACACATAGAAACGTTCATTGATCCATACACATCTACTCACACATACACATACACGTACACACATTGAAATCATGCCTTCGTCTGACCTGTACAGCTGCCAGTAAATGGGAACGGTACACAGCCACCACCTGTTTGTGTTTTCTCTCCCAATCCTGCAAAAAAGTCATACTAAATTTACTGTCATGCCAAACAAAGAAGTTTGTTTTGTCATTTTTACAGATGATGATGGTCTATGACAGAGGCGGTTTATGCTGTGTACAGATTGTAAAGGCTCCTGATGCAAATTTGTAGTTTGTGATATTGAAATACATAAGCAATATTGGACTTGATATACACTATGATAGTATAGGAAAAAGTCTTTTTGGAGTTGATGATACATTATTTCTCACTTCATACATCTTTGGTGTCTCCTCACCTGGAGCTGCTGAGTGAGTATAGAGATCCTGTTCTGCAGTGCCATTTGCTGCCCGGGGTTACCATGAAGAGTGGATGAAGAGGATGAGGATGTGATGCCAAGAGGTGGTGACAGAGCTCCTAGTGCCTCTTTTAGGCGAAACACCTCCTTGGACAGCTCAGTTATCTGCACAAAGACATACACATCAGCGCAGCCACCTCATAGATGCTTCAGCAGCAGTTGTTACAACTGGAAATGTGATCTCTCACCTTGCGGTCTTTCTCCTTGACCAGGCCCTGGGATTCCTGGATGTCCTTGTGGAGCTCCTGGATGTGACTGGACTGGGCCTGTAAGTCAGCTAGCTGCTGCTGCACTGTGGCCAGCTGAGACTCTGCAGCCTGCCGCTCACTCTTGCTAAACAGAGCCTCCCTCTGCACTTGGAACACCTAGACCAGTAAAACCACCAGTGGCACCCTGTCACTACAGGTCCAGATACTTTCTGCTTATACAGGACCTGAGGCTGACCCACAACTACTGGCAGATATAAAGCGGGCGGCTGTCCCCGAACTGGAAGACTGCAAGTTCAATTTCCATTCTCCTCAGTCTACATGTTGAAGTGTCCTTGTGCAAGACACTGAACCCCAGGTTGCTCCCAATGGCCAGGTCAGTGCCTTGCAGGGATTGTTTGTTTGTATTTTTACATGTACATGTAAAATATATCTTCAAATCAAATCAAAGACAACTATTGTTGTCTGAGTTTTTGCTCACAGGAATTTCCAGTTTCCCTTGATAACAGTTCTCTCTTTGACCTGCATACACCTACGCTGGAGTGCAAAAAGAAATTGTAGTAAAACCAGGATGCAGTAAATCTACACAATTTTGCTTTTGGTACCTCATTCAGTTGTGATTCTGTTTCAGGAAAGTTCAACCTTCTGACTCAGAAACCAAAACAAATTTATGGGCCAACGGTAAATTCCAGTGATTGGTTAGATGCCAAACAGGCCATGTTTTTGTAATAAAATTCTCTCTGTGTTTAGCAGGACTCAGTTTGTGAAGTATATAAAATCCCACTGCAACATATCATTCTCTGTCTGAAAATGTGGCTTTTAAGGGATCATTGAAACAGACGGAGGTGCTGAATAGAGAAAGTGCTGTAATACACTTATGAATAATGTAAAGGCAGGAGAGAGGCCTTCATGGAACACTGCTCACTTTGTGACATACACAAGATAATCTAATGTGGCTTGAGATAGAATTAGAAAGAATTGGAGAAGGCAGAAACAATAACATGCCTGCGTGCATAGACACACATACACACACCTCAGTGCAGGTCTTCTCATGTTTGCGGGTGAGGTCATTGAAACGAGCCGTGATGGCATTGATCTCAGCCTGCAAAGAGAGCCGCAGTGCCTCGTGGTCCTCTTTGGAGATTAAACTTGATATACACTATGATAGTATAGGAAAAAGTCTTTTTGGAGTTGATGATACATTATTTCTCACTTCATACATCTTTGGTGTCTCCTCACCTGGAGCTGCTGAGTGAGTATAGAGATCCTGTTCTGCAGTGCCATTTGCTGCCCGGGGTTACCATGAAGAGTGGATGAAGAGGATGAGGATGTGATGCCAAGAGGTGGTGACAGAGCTCCTAGTGCCTCTTTTAGGCGAAACACCTCCTTGGACAGCTCAGTTATCTGCACAAAGACATACACATCAGCGCAGCCACCTCATAGATGCTTCAGCAGCAGTTGTTACAACTGGAAATGTGATCTCTCACCTTGCGGTCTTTCTCCTTGACCAGGCCCTGGGATTCCTGGATGTCCTTGTGGAGCTCCTGGATGTGACTGGACTGGGCCTGTAAGTCAGCTAGCTGCTGCTGCACTGTGGCCAGCTGAGACTCTGCAGCCTGCCGCTCACTCTTGCTAAACAGAGCCTCCCTCTGCACTTGGAACACCTAGACCAGTAAAACCACCAGTGGCACCCTGTCACTACAGGTCCAGATACTTTCTGCTTATACAGGACCTGAGGCTGACCCACAACTACTGGCAGATATAAAGCGGGCGGCTGTCCCCGAACTGGAAGACTGCAAGTTCAATTTCCATTCTCCTCAGTCTACATGTTGAAGTGTCCTTGTGCAAGACACTGAACCCCAGGTTGCTCCCAATGGCCAGGTCAGTGCCTTGCAGGGATTGTTTGTTTGTATTTTTACATGTACATGTAAAATATATCTTCAAATCAAATCAAAGACAACTATTGTTGTCTGAGTTTTTGCTCACAGGAATTTCCAGTTTCCCTTGATAACAGTTCTCTCTTTGACCTGCATACACCTACGCTGGAGTGCAAAAAGAAATTGTAGTAAAACCAGGATGCAGTAAATCTACACAATTTTGCTTTTGGTACCTCATTCAGTTGTGATTCTGTTTCAGGAAAGTTCAACCTTCTGACTCAGAAACCAAAACAAATTTATGGGCCAACGGTAAATTCCAGTGATTGGTTAGATGCCAAACAGGCCATGTTTTTGTAATAAAATTCTCTCTGTGTTTAGCAGGACTCAGTTTGTGAAGTATATAAAATCCCACTGCAACATATCATTCTCTGTCTGAAAATGTGGCTTTTAAGGGATCATTGAAACAGACGGAGGTGCTGAATAGAGAAAGTGCTGTAATACACTTATGAATAATGTAAAGGCAGGAGAGAGGCCTTCATGGAACACTGCTCACTTTGTGACATACACAAGATAATCTAATGTGGCTTGAGATAGAATTAGAAAGAATTGGAGAAGGCAGAAACAATAACATGCCTGCGTGCATAGACACACATACACACACCTCAGTGCAGGTCTTCTCATGTTTGCGGGTGAGGTCATTGAAACGAGCCGTGATGGCATTGATCTCAGCCTGCAAAGAGAGCCGCAGTGCCTCGTGGTCCTCTTTGGAGATTAAACCCTGTTCTGCAGCTTTCTGGGACTTTAGTTCTCTCAGCTCCATCTCTTTGTCAGTCAGAGCATCCTGAGCTGCTGCTACATGGCTCTCACTGGCCTGCAGAGAGCGCTGCAGCTCTGCCTGTGAGGAAAAAGCTAGATCAACTGGGGAGTTGTAACTTTTTGGTCCTGTAACAGAAAATTACTGACGTTAAACATTTTTAGCAAATTTGTGAGCAAAATATATTTCTAAGTAGGCAGCACAGCGGCATGGTGGTAAGCACTGTGTAAAGGTTTCAGGTTCATGTCCGGGCCAAGCCGGGGACTTTCTGTGTGGAGTTTGCATGTTCTCCCTGTGCCATCGCGGGTTCTCTCTAGGTACTCCGGCTTCCTCATAGAGTCCAAAGACATGTAGTTTAAGTTGACCGGCGGCTCTAAATTGCCCGCAGGAGTGAGTGTGGTTGTTTGTCTAAATGTCAGCCCAGTGATAGACTGGTGGACCCCGCCTCTCATCCAATGTCATCTGGGATTGGCTCCAGCCCCCCCCCCACAACCCTATTCAGGCATGAATAAGCGGTATAGATAATGGATGGATATATTTTAAATGAAAATGCAGTTAAAGTTATTTTTTTAAACAACTTGCAGATCAGCATGTAGCCCAATGAGAAATGGGCTTAAATAAACAAGCTTCTCTTCTCTTTCTCTCATCTAGCACCCTATATTTATAAATTCTACAAAAATGCCCTGCCTCATCTGTTTATTCTTATTTTATCAGTCTTATCATGATATTTGTGAATTTCCCTTCAGACCTTGATTTTATCATGCTCCTCTCTGGGAACAGCATCCTGCAGGGTCTGTAGTCTGGCCTCTAGCGTAGCAGCCTCCTCCTCAGTTTGGATGCGAAGGGTCCTCTCCTCCTGGAGCTCCAGCAATGCCTGAGCTAGCTGTTCTGATACCGAAGACAGTGCCTCCTTATGTTTGGAGAGGGGAACAGCATCTTTCAGCTGCAGGGCGTCTTGTGCACGGCCCTCCCGCTCAGCACACAGACAGTCCAAAGCCTGGGCTGCTTCCTGTCTTGCTGCTTCCAGTTCTTCCTTCACTGCTGCTAGGGTACGTCTGGAGTGCTCTGATTAGATAAAGGCATAATCACTTACAAAGTGGACATAAAAGTTTAGAATTTTTGTTTTTCCCTTATGGAACCCAAAAGAAAACTTTTAAGCAGAAAAAAACAAAAACAGCACCGCATACCTGATGTGGGCTCTGAGCTCTCTGAGTGCTCCTCCTCCTCCTCCTCCTCATCATCATCTCCACGTGGTGGAGGCCTGAGTCTCTCCAGTTCCAGGAGTGAGTCATTGAGCCTTCTAGCCACATCTGCCCTCTCCCTGGCCAGCTGCTCACACTGGAGCCCCAGAGTCACCTGCACCTCCTCCAGTTCTGAGCGGGGCACACACTTCCTCAGCTCCCCCTCCAACTCACCCAGACGTTCCTGAAGACGACGGACCTTATCACCATCTCCTGCCTCTTTCCCAGATGTCTTGCTCTCTGCCAGGGTTGCCTCCAATTCAGCCACTTTGTCACGAAGGCGCTTCACAGTTTTTTCCAATCTGTTGTCTTTCTCCCTTTCTTCTTTCATACGCTCTTTCTGGGCCAAAGCAGCCTGGAGTGCCTCTACTTTCTCTGTCAGCTGTTTGATTGTGTCACTGTCCTGACTGCTCTGACCCCCTTCATTGCCCTGTCTCTTAGCAAGCTCCTCCTCTAGCTCTGTCACTCTTGCTCTCAGCTGCTGTGCCACCTGGCTCGGACCCTCCTCTACAGCCCCAGACTGACCTTCAGTCCCAGCACCTGCTGTGAGAGTATCCCTTTCAACACACTCCACAGAAAGCACCCCAAGGCGCATCTGTTCCTTTAACTCCTCAAGCTCAGTCTGGGAGGATGCCAGCTGCTCCTCCAACCCACGCAGCTTCTCCTTCAGAGCCTTTTTACTGTCTACATCCACACCTCCTTCCGGAGACATCTCATCACCTCTGCAAAACAAGACAAGGACTGTCAATCAATCAATCAAGCACTGCAAAAAGTAATCAGTTACATCAACTGCAACCTGCGATAATGCCAGTACAAATACATTATTTATCCTAAACAGCAAGGATGTCAGAAACTCAGTATTATGAGACAGAAGTAAGAAACCAACAAATCAATGATGTCATGAGTGCACATTTTGCACCTAAGGCTGCTTAGCCTCCAGAATGTTGCAGGAAAAATGTAAATGCTCAGCACTTTTAAAAACAGCACTGATAGAGGCTGCAACCAGATACTGCTGAACAGATATTAGCAAAGGTGTGTACATCTCAGGATAAAGGTCTGACTCAATACAGGTGAGTTCAAGTGAATGTGAACTGTGCTGGCTATTTCAGCCTGTTAGTGTTATTCCAATGAATGAATAAATGAATCAATCTTACTGCTCTTCAGCCACACTGGAGGCCTCATCTGAAGCCTGGGCTTGAGAAAAGCGCTCCTGAAGGGCTTCAAACTCCTTCATCAGGGTCTCATACTGAGCTAAGGGGACGAAGTCTGGGCTGGAAGTCTGCATGTCTGTGTCATCCTTTTCAAACATCTCCAGCATCTATATGCAACACAAAGGAAATGACAGTAGTTTATTGCTGAGCTAAAATTGCACATATTTTCATGTGGTGTCTTCAGAGTACATCCATCCATCCATCCATTTTCCTCCGCTTATCCAGGACCGGGTCGCGGGGGCAGCAGTCTAAGCAAAGATGCCCAGACTTCCCTCTCTCCAGACACTTCCTCCAGCTCCTCCGGGGGAATGCCGCGGCGTTCCCAGGCCAGCCGAGAGACATAGTCCCTCCAG